CTCTTTCCCCTAATAAGGTCTGCAATGTTGACCAAAGCCAATCAGAATTTAAACGATAAACAACAACCCAGTAGAATCCCACAAGTGGGGTCTAAGGAGGGTAATGTGTACGCGGACCTTCCGAAAGACCCTCGGCTCGAGAGGAAGAATAGAAGCAAGTAAATAACAAGGCAGATTTCAAACGATAAGTACAATTTACTCCTCAACATAGACATCATAATAGGATGAAATTTTGAGAATTCAATATTTGTACCTTCTCAAGTGGATAAGCCGTTTTATCACAGGTCGCACATTTTTCCTGTGTTCCAGAAAACATTCGGGCAGCTTTGCTAGGAGATCTTGTCTGTGTACCGAAAGCAAGAGAATAGAAAATAAGACGCATAGTATTGCGACAGATCTAAAAGATACACTATTTTTCTTATTTTTCAGTTTGTTAATCTTAGGTACAAATAGTTGCAACAAAAGTTACCAGCTCTGGAGTTAACTTCTCAGCTGACTTTGCAGCTGTCACGAGTAAAATGCATTTCGTATTAGATAAAGTAAATGGACATTAATGTTGAATAATGGAATTAAGCAAGAAACAAATAACACACACGTGATTGAAAGTTCTTGTTGAAGTTGCCAGACTCCTTGTAAAGCTGCTCAAAATGGGGCTTGCAATACAAAACACCTTCCATTGAGGAGTAATTGCTCAGCTAAGAAAATACCACATCAGTTAGTATGCATCAAAACACCATAATCTTTTCACATTGAAACTCTACATATACTACAAATACTAAGACAACTTTTCTAAATGATTGAGCTAGTACTGATGTTGATGCTCAATTTACAACTCCTATTGCAGTATGCTCCAACATCAGGATATTGAAAGTTCACCCTTTGCCAATTTTCCAACTCAAATCACGAAAAGATTATGATAAAGGATTGTAGTCTATCGGCTAGGCATTTGCTCCACATTTAAACTAAAGAGTTTGAATATCTGCTTCTACCTCAATAGATTTCAAAAAAGTCAAGCACTTCCTCTACTTGTCTGTCTGTTCAATAAAGAATAATTACTTTCTATATTTGGAAATAATTTAATTTTACTCTTTCTATTTTATATAGCCACATAAACATGGATATTTAAGACCGCAAGTTTCAAAAGTCTTGTGTTTCTTTCTTAAATTCTCCTAACCCACTCAAATAGGTTCATCTATTAATCAATCTAACTACGACCCAATCCCTAACAAGTTGGTCTCGTGTATCAATCCTCTACATCCATTCTACTTTATTCAGCGACAACAAATGCTAACTAATAAAAACTTGGAAAGAAGATTATAGTCTATTACCTTGAGAGTTCCTTTACAATGGGTGCATTTAAAGCAAGATTTGTGATAGCTAATCCCATCAGCTGACAAAAGCTCAACTGGGTAAACTGTCTTTTCACATGCCTTGCATTTCTGTTGTGTCCCCGTAAATGACATGACTTATGACTTCAACACAAAATATATACTTCTAGATCTGATATTTGACTCTACAGAAACCAAAAAAAAGATTCAGTCTTTTAATATTTGTCAGGTATTTTCACCGATCTATACAAAAAACATAAAAATTAAAACATCTCAGTTACAAGTAAGGAATCATTAGTTATGTAGAAAAAATATGTTTGGTTAAAGGGTGCATACATTGGAAGAAGAAAAAGAATGCTTCAGTTCTTGATCTGCTAAGACTGAAGCAAGTTTATGTGTGGATTAAAGTTCAAGTTTTGTGACGCGGCGAGGTAATAGCAGATGAAGAATTTAGTGGGGAAAGAAGATTGTTTTTTTTTTAGGGTCAGAGAGAATGATGATGTGGGAGAGAGAAGAGAGAAGAGGACAGAAATATCTTCGACGGAAAAAAGTAATTGGCTCATTGTTTTAAGTGGTCTCTGTACCGAATTGGACATAATGTAGACTCGTATTAAACCAGACACAATAAATTCTGTCCTAGAATCCGGTTTTTGTTGAGAGTCCGGAACTAAAATATTATTTTTTTTTGACTCAAGTACAAAAATACGGGAAAAAAATAATTGATGATCAATTTATATATAACGTATTTGTTCAATGTGCTATACTTTAATGGTATATTTGTCCGTTAAGGTATAACATATGGGTTGTATGTGATATATTTGAATTTTAAATTAGCGGACAATATATATATATATATA